ATATCTATAGTTATTGTAATATTATAGATATAATACAGTATTATACTGTACTATACACTGTATAGTATACAGTATAGTACAGTACTATACAAATATGATACCTATATATAAAATAATTATAATTATTTAATAATAATTAATTTTATAAAATTGTATTCATCATTTTATTACATATATCATACTGTAGTTTAATTAATTTATATTTTACTTTAATTAATAATTAAAATGCTAATAAAAATATTTACGGTAATGTATTGTTATATGATAGCAATATCGAGATAACAAAATTAATATGGGTTCCATAGATTCCATAGATAGAATTTTTTTTAGAAACTTTCTAGAAATTTCTCTATTATTTTATAAATTTCTCTTTTTTTCCAACACTAATCACAATTCAAAATATTTACACTCATATTTAGGTAAATCTCAGTTTTATAATAATAATTAAAATATTTTTGTATCATTTATATAATAGTTTTAATAGAATTTTTATATATATAATAATATTAATATTACTTATAAAGACTTATACTATATATATCGTATAATTTTTAGTTTAATTATTTTGTAGATTAGCTAATATATTGTTTGTATTGTATTTAATACTTATGAATAAAATATATTTGACATACATTTATATCAGTAATATATATCTGAACTTCATCTCATTTTTTGTCTTTTAATTAATTCAATTTAAATTACTTAATTGATTCTTTATTTTATAATATATTATAATAAATATTTTAATTAATAGAATAAATATATTAATATTAGTACACAAAAATCAAGTTAATATTTAGACAATTAAGAAACAACTTGTTTTTTTAATTTTTACAATATATCAAATAATTGATTAATTTAAATTTTATCAAAGATTGATCATTTTTACTGATTTTTTAATCTAGAAATATATAATTGTATTTATATTTATATTACCGGTAAATTAGTAATATTAAGTATTGTTCAAAAATATGAATTGTGAATAAAGTTTTTAAGTAGAAATTTATTTTAAATATATTTAGGTTTTTACCAAACATATTAATTTGATTATTTAGAAAATTGATTATATAGTAAAGGTTTAATGTTGATATACCTGTATTTCATAATATAATTTATATTAATAATCTGAAACTTTTTTTGCATACTTTGAATATAGCAAACAGTTTATTTAATTTATTAGTATATATGTAATAGTCTTAATATTTAATACGATTATAGAAAATAAGATAATATGAAATCATTGATAGTTTATTTCAACCTGACTTTTCAAATGCATTTTATATATTTTCTTAATAATAAAATTACATTCATTTAATTTCGTTAGTTTTATACCATATTTTTATGCAATTTATTGCTCATCTTTATTGATTTTGTTCCCATAAAACGATATATTTATGGCAAATACATATTTATATTGTTTATATTATACCAAATACAGCAAATACTGTATCATCTAATAAGAAATATATTTTATATTATTAGATGATATACATTGTTGTGTAATCAATGAATTATATATCTTTTGTTTACTTGTATTTATGTTATATTTGTTATTTTAGAATAGTTTTTATTAAAATTATTTATTTTAAACTAAACTTTAAAAATTTATATAACTTTATAATATAATAAAATAATAAGACTAAAAATATTTGTCATATAATAAGAGTTCGGGTAATTTTCGAGAGAGGCAAGTTCCCTGATAAATCCCTCCAATTTTCTCGGAAAATAATTTATTTTCCTTTTCTTCATCGTTAGAAATGGAAAATATAAATTGAATTATTACAATAAATAGTACGAAAACTTAAATATTTTTCATAAAATTTCATTGAAATATTTAAAATTAGATTTCAATTCAATAAATTTTGTAATACTATTTATCAACACTTTTTAAAATACAGTTTAATATAACATTGGATTTTAAACATCATAATAAAATGTGTTGTTTAGGGTTCAATAGGTGGTAGCACAAGGATATAGATTCCATAGGAATTCCTATGGAGAGGCAAAATAAGGAACTTTTGGTATATGGAAGGAATTTGATCGAACCCTACAATACCATACAATAAAATGTTAATTTCATAAATATTGTAAAAACATTTTTGTCACTATCTTTTTAAATAATTGAGATATAATTAGATATTTTTCGTACTATTGTTTCTTTGAATTTAGAGCGAAAAATCTTTAAAATGTTAAATTATATCATTAATATGTTTGCATTTTTATTTATAATTATAAATCATTTTTATAGAATTTTCATTGAAATTCTTAGAAAATTTCTTTTTCATAGCACTACTGATGAAATTAAGTGTGATTTGTGTTATATAAATGGATGAGTAGGCGATATAGTTAAGTAAAAGTGCAAAAAAAATAGATATCAAACGATAAAGTGGTTGATTGAGAGTACAAATTTAATATAAACAATGTATAATTGATTTGCTGTTAAACTACTTTATAAATAAAGAATTTATTTTTTATCTTCTTTTTTCTTTAATGAATGCTTGCATTTAAGCATTTTATTAAATATGTTTTCAAAGATAAAATATATATAAATTTGATTTTCAATTTATTTAACACATGAATAGAAATTTATTATTAAAAATATTCTGAATTCTTTTGACATATTTTTCACTCTTTTTTTAATATATTCTTTATATTTCTCATACTTTTTATGCATAAAAATGACGAAAATTTTTAATGAAACAAGAATTTTCAATTCAAATGAAATAAGAATTCTATGCCTTATTATTCACATTTTTGATCCGATTATAAAATATGCACAAAATATTTAAGAAAAATATTGTAATTTTAATTATAATACTTAAATAATAATACTGTATATTATAATAATCTTATATAGAAAGTATTATATTGTAAATTATACATAAAAAACTAGTCAACAGATTTAAGCAAAAATTGTTTTTTTAAACAATTTAACTACTTTTTTGTTGCTTAGATGTTGTAGTTTTAGCTAATTTTAACTTAAATTAAATATAATATAACATTGAAAAGAAAGTTAGAGAAAATGAATTTTGCATTTTAAATGTAATAAACATGAATTGCTTTAGATTTCATGGATAATAAACAAATGAATGACTAAATATTAAGTGAAAACATATATTAGATTTTTATGAATATTTTTAAAAATATTATATACTATACACTGTTTAGTATACATTACAGTTATTTTGGATTATCATACTGTATGACTCATATATGTACAGTAATATCAAATAATTATACAACTAATATAGTAGTTGTTTATAATTATATTTTTAATAATATATTTTTCTAAAAATATTAATATATGAATTAAGAATTATTTATAATTATTTTGTTTGTATTACTGTAAGTGTTGGTAATCTTCTATAATAATAGCAAATTTTTAATTACTTATAAAATAGATTAATTTTAAAATGTAGTAAATGTAATTTTTATCAATTACATGTTTACTAATGTTTTTTATATCAATAATTTATTAAAAATTTTATTTTAATTTTAAAATATGAAAAAATAGTGTGATATTTTGTAGATTATTTGATTGTTAGCTTTTAGTCGTACAGTACATCTGTAAAAGTTTAAACTTTATACTTACAGTAATTAACACTTACTATTGACTTTAAATCTGTGTAATTTACAATTTAACAATTAAGTAACAATAAAATAAAGTAATTATATTTCTAATGTATTTAATTTATTGTTATATATTTGAAAATAATGCCTAAATATACAGAGTCTGTATTACAGACGTATTAAAAGACACAAATTTCAGGTTATATTCAGTTTTTGTAAAGATTGATAAAAAGTATAATAATTTAGATTTGATTCATAATAATCACGATTTACAGCTCATTTCATTATCCTTTTGATAGTACTATTAAAATACTATTATATTTACATACTATTGTATACAACACATTATTATCTGTATTTCATTCAAGTTTTTTGCTATTATTTTTATTACCATTTTGTGGATTTACGGGCAATGAATGAATTGATTATTTAAACCAGTGGTTAACAGATACGCTTTATTAGAATACAGTCCCTCAAAAAGTGTTATGTAATTGATTACAATAATTTTTTTAAACATTAAAAATACACACAAATTGTTTCTAATTAAAAATGTATTTAAAACTTAAAAGTAATAATGCTTTAATTAAAGATAAAACAATAAAAGCTATAAATTGTTTTACAATGGAGTAATATTAAAGACACTTTTACTAATATACATATGTTTTGAATGCATATGTTAGTCAAAATAAATGAGTGACCTATACTCTACACTGTCTACAGTTAAGTATAAAGTGGGGGTAAACTAATATTAGTTAATTTAATTAATTTCCAAAATTTGCTTAACCGCCCCTGCTACTTTATTAGTAATATTTTATTTGATGATATTATATTATATTTGACTATTAATTATAATATACGTAAAACATTGATTTGAAAATATGTATGATTACATGATTACATAATTACATGATTCTGTTAACTGTTGTTTTTAGTTAGACTGACGGCGAATATGAATGACTTATATCTCAACTATTTATATAAAATACCATTTATTTGATTCTTAAAATTGTGTTATTTTTCTATAAGAATTGATTTTTTTTGTAATATAATAACTCATTTCATTTCAGATTAGTTTTACAGTAAATTTGACACTATTTTGTCTAATAATATCAATATTTGTATTTTAAGAATTTTGTGTATATTTACTATTAAACATATTACGGTTTTTCATATTAAATTATTATTATTTTGTATTAAATTTCTAAAAATTCAAGTTATTTTGTGACTAAAACTTTTTTAAGTCGAGTTATATTAGATTTTATTGATCTAATGGTTATACAAAAACATCTGTTCCTTTAAGGCTAGACATAGACCAGAAAATGATGATATATTTATGCTGTCGGCGCTCAAGGCTTATGATTTTGTACAGTGATATGGATTTTATAAACTATATTATATGTGTAATAATTATATATTGTTTTTGATAACAGTTTTATCGGTCATTCATTGGGAAATATCATAATCCGTTCGGCGTTAACCACTAAACATGATTTCATTGAGCGCTGGAGAGACAAACTCTACACTTTCCTATCACTCAGTGGACCACATCTTGGACTTCAATATAATAACAGTGGACTCGTCAATATGGGTATACATTGTATTTGACTATAATTTTTACCATAATTATCATTATACCTATTATTATTATTAATGTAATTATTATTACTTCTCTTAACTATTCATTTTACTCATATAAGTACTTAAGTACAGTACTATATAGGCATTATTGGTCACATTTACCCATTTTATTATTTTTTTGTATTCAATTATAGCTAATTACTAAAAAAATCTTAATATATACTGTATTGTCACTAACATGTGTTATATTTATATAATGAAAGCTAAAATACAGATATACATTAAAATTCAATTAATTTGCTAATTTAATTGTAGTCTCATTTTGAATATATAATAATTTATATATTTCTAAAGTAAGTGCTATTTACAGAAATAAAACAAATTTCATTTGCTTTGAATTTCAATTTAAAAGCTTTTATTGAAATCATTCAATGCATATAAAATTGTTTTTCTACTAATTTTTCAAATTAATTTTATTTATAAAAAATATTTATTTATTTAATAGTAATACTGTATTAGTGATGTTACTAAAATGTTTGATTTCAATTAATAATAATTATATTCTAACATAAATTTATATATATATAATTACATAACATAGTATAATGTTATTTTGCTGATTTATAGTTTTTTATTTATATACATATGTATTTGCATTTTTTATAACATTTAATTATTTAAATTACAAACACATAATGTATTTTATTAATAGGACATCATTTGTACAGAATATACAGTTAATATAAAATAAAATAAGAATAATCAAAATAACAACAAAAATATTATAGTATATATGCAAAGCACTAAATATATATTTTTATTGTTTTTAATTATAAATGAGTCGACATGTTCTGCAATTGTAATATATTATTGATTTCAATGATTTACAAATGTGTGTTATTAAACAATAATATTCTGTTGATTATAATTTATAATATACACATATAAACCAGTATTGAATAAAATTTCTTTATTTGTGTAATGTATTATAAAATGGTGTTTATATAACGTTTTAAGCATTTTTTGCGTGTTTTTCAAACCATTAATGCTCTCATTTAGCCAATCGTCACTAATGGTAGAGTCACTGTTTACCATAACCTTGTTTTAGGGGAGTTTAAGGGGTAAATAGGAACTTAAAATTCTAAATAACTTTAAATTTAATGATTATATGTTTTATTTTATCTATTAATTGGTGATAAAAATGATAATTAATATGTCATTTCTATTTATGTATGCTTTTTACTTTAATAATTTAGCTAATGTTAATATTTAGTTTAGTTTTCAATTTTTACACGACCTGGTAATCCCAGAGATTAGTATATTTTGTTTTAGTTGTTGACAGAATTGATATATGATCTAACATTGAATATTATTAGTCAACATTTGGTAGCGAAAAAAGCTTTAATTTTTTATAATACAATTGTTTTAACGCAAACAATACATTGATTTGTTGTATTGTGTAAATCAATAGGTTTATGGTTTATGCAAAAGTGGAAAAAGTCTGGATCGCTGTTACAGTTGGCGATGAAGGACTCAAGTGATCCGCGACAGACATATTTGTATCGCTTGAGTCTCGAACCGGGTTTAGAGTACTTCAAGAATATTCTGTTGTGCGGCTCATCACAGGACCACTACGTGCCCATACATTCAGCACATATTGAACTGTGCAACGCATCACTCAATGATACCTCTCCTAATGGTTTGTATAAATACGTGCATTATATTGTAGTACAGATACAACACAATACCTTATAAATTGTCTTCTTTTATAGTTGACTTAAGGCTAGCAATTGAAGTGTAGTATAAATTTATTTTTATTATTGTTTGGCAACTTTTTTGAGAAAATTTATTGGAAAAATTTATGTCACAAAAAATATGTTGTCATTTGCCTCTACAAAGACCGGAATTTGCACTAAGTTATCGTTTTTAGGCTTTTTTATGCTATCTATTGATAAAACTAGCAAAGAGTTAAATTAGACTTAAATACAATTAGTTTGTAGCGATCAAAGAGTTTTAAATTATAGCTAAAGATGTGACCATAACTTCTTATATAAGATGAACACTAATGGACAAGAAGTGCTCACTCTTTCTCTTTTTCCAATCTTTGTCTTCAATATAATTAAAATTAATTGCTTTGTTTTATCATTTATGTTGAGTCAGTGATTGCTTTTAAATGTATTACTAATTTTTTTACTAATCGACTCTTAATTTTCTTAATACAAGTTATATATTTTAATAAAATTCTTATAATAATATATTCTTTAAATTTATGTCTTTATAAAAAACTTATTGTAATTATTTATTTAATTTTTTAGGTATAGCGTATCGAGAAATGGTTAGCAATTTATTGCATCCATTAATGAGTAAATCTAGTATTAAATTAATACGTTATGACGTCCATCACTCTCTGACCAGTAATGCAAACGCACTGATAGGACGTGCGGCACATATTGCTGTTTTGGACTCAGAGTTATTCATTGAAAAGTTTATGGTTGTCACTGGACTCAAATATTTTATCTAAATATTACCAAAACTATTACTTTACAAAAAACAGCTATTTTAATAGCTTTATATTAATAATAATATTTATACAATTAATAATTTTTCTTAAAAAATCTCATATCCTTTTTTGTATATGCATTGATTATAGGAATTTTATCATAAATTATATAATAACTTATTTGTAAAAAAATATTTAATAAAAAATAATATAACAATAAATGTTTTACCAGTTGTAGTTTAAACTTTTATTTTTTACATTACTTTTATATAATCGCTTGCAATTGTTATTTACATAAAATTATTATTATTACTATTGTTACTTAAAATAATATTTAACATGTGTTTTTTATTCCAACAAATCGTAGTAAACTTCGATTAATATTTAAGGTATAAAATGACTAATGAAATCAGTCACACAATTGACTATTAGAAACAATAAACAAATAGTATTTTTATGACAATCAAAAGTATTAGTTTTATTGAATCACTGAATCATTTAAGATAAAAACCATTTATAAAAATATATATAACATTATTATCGACATTTTATTCATTGTTTTATTATACAGTATGTCACTAACAATTCAATTGAATAAATGTATGTAAAATATTTGTATATATATATATATACAGTCTATAATATATACTGACAGAGAGAGAGAGAGAGAGAGAGAGAGAGAGAGAGAGAATATTCAGTAAGATATAGTATATTATATGTATTATGAGTTCCATAAAAGTTAACATGAAATAATTTTAACAGAATTACATCATTTTTATATATAATATGTAGCTCTCAGACAATAATATAATATTGTAATATTACAGTAATAATAATATTATCATTAAAATCGTTATATATATTTTTTTAATAAAATTATTTGCGTGACTGATTACAAGTTAGCATTAATATAATGTTATATTATATAATATATCTAAATTTTTGTTATAAGAGATTGTAATTTAAAAATTTATTTTTATAAAAGAAATGTGATTTATAATATAAATATATATATATATATATTTATAAAAATCAACATGCAATATTATTATTATCTATATATATATATATATAAAGAAGATATATATATAATAATAATACCTAACTTGAAATGTTTTGCATTTAAGACTCGACTAATACCAGATAATAATATTTTGAATTTTTATATTAACTTTATTTATATACTTGCTTGTGATATATACATGACAGCACATTATATATAAAGTATTATATAATACAGTATATACTGTAGTTGTATTTTGAATGTATATTTGTATACAGTATATGTATGTATGGGCGCGCCTTCACTTATTTAATAATATGAAGTTAACATAAATGCCTTTAAAGTTCTTATATTAAATGATATGGAATTAAATATTCTATATATTTCTATGTTTTATAGTTATGAGTGAATTCAATACCTCTTATTAATCTCGTTATTATAATTTTGGTTTATTTTTGCTATCAATATTGACATTTAATATTCAATAATACTCTATAGTATAGAGTCTATAGTCTATACATAAGTGACTTAAACGTTAGTATAAATGAAAGATGAATAAGTCGTTTAAGCAAATGCTATCCGATAATCAAGTATTTAATGATTAATGTTTTACTGAATTTTTGATAAAAATATTTTTTTAATTGGATGTCATTTTCTAAAATATTTTTGCTAACTCTATAAAAATAATTATTTTGATAAATTTTAAAGTTTTTCGCTATCAATACAATGTAATTGCAATATTAGAAATAAAAAGAGTAAGTTTAGTTATAATTGTAAATATAATTATTTGATTAAATAATTTGATAAGTGCTTAAACAATAGTACTTTATTAATTATTAGTAATTTATTGAATTTGTATGACTGAAGTACACCGACACTGACATAAGCTATAATAAGTTGTATTTTATACAAATAAATAACGAGATAAACGATGAAATCAATGATATATTAATGGTAAGACAGCTATAACTTTGTTAAACTATAAGACTGTATATAGTATTGAATGGAAATAATATAATTTATATAAAATAAATAATGAATACAATGGCCAAAAACTGGTCATTCATAGGGAGGGCTATGTATGGCAACAGAGTTGTCATTTGACAGACAAGATGTGTGGTTGCGGTGGTGTTGCCAGTGATCGGGTGTTTTGGTGTCCTCTTCGTCACTGAGACTGAGCTCGTGATCACAATTAATGCGTCAAACAATCGATCGTTTTTTCGAGCAAAAGAAGACCCGTTTAGAGCATGTCTGGTATGTGTCGGCGCTCTCAGCACTGGATGCAAGTGCTTGGCTTCGAACTAAACACTACTAACAACAAACACTTCACGAACATCACTGTCCCCAACATATATGAAACACCATTTCCACTGAATTACATTACATCCCTATACACAGTATATCAATATATACTGTTTATATTCAGATATGACATCAAATGTGCTTTAAATGTATAGATATGTTATATTAGACTCATTTCGGAGATCAGTATTGTTGTCTTGCATTGAATAACCTGTTAGTCGACAAACATAATCACATCAATAATTATTGATATCATTATTTGATTGCAAAGATTATAGTCTTCTAAAATTACTCTTCAGATCGACAGCTCGACTCGTATTGTGTTTCAAATAAATTTCTTTCATATGATGTTCTTCTGTATAAATATGTGTCAAAATGTGTGTGTTTTGGACTTAAAATTCAGTTCATTTGATTACCAGAGTTAAGCAGTCATACAATCGTCATGTGTTGGATGTATTAGATGTGTGGTCTCTAAGGATAACTCGAAATCAAATTAAACAAATTTAAATGACAACTAACATCTAAAGGTAAGATTTATAATTATATGTTATATATTATCAGTTATTACTAACAATTAATATAATAAACTTTATTCAAAAATGTTCTGTTAATTTTCATCAATAATTTAATAATAATTTTCTCAAATAAATTTTAATACCAGTGCTTTTTGTTATTTTATAAAYTTTTTTACATAAATCACTTTAAATTTAAAATTATGATATCACATAATGTGATTCACATTAACCACTAAAAACTTTTTTTTGTTATCTTAATGCAAATGTTAGTTTTTAAAATGACATATATATATATATATAATAATAATAATAATAATATATGGTATTAAATATAATAGTATTATAACACTTATTATATAAATGTGTAAATCGTTAATCAAAAGTGATTTGAATGTATTAATAAAACTGAATGACATTATCAGCACTGAATCATCATTTGTATGCATTAATCCCTTTCCTCTTTCAGTTAACAGATTAATGTCTTTACGAAAACACTAATCCAATGAGTATCAGTAAAATCCATTTTTACTGTTATTTTTGTTTGTTTTCATTTAATTATAGATTGATATATATTTATATAAATTAAATAATTGATTATTTTCTAAGTATACTGTACTATACTGTATAATAACCACAGTTTAAAAAAATACATAAAATATATATCACACAAAATCATTGTCTAACTAAATATTCTTATCACTTGTTCAGATGTCTCTCGAAGCAAATTCTGGAAATATTGGTTACATTTGGTCACAATTTTCTTGTTATTGTTGTCTTATTATAGGGGTTTTCAGCCAAAAATTATTATTCAAATAATATATTCCTTTTGAATATCAGATGAAACAGTAGTTTCAAAAATAAAGGGATGTTTTCGATATAATATGCAGTGGTTTTTGGAGCGCACGTCAACTCATCAAAAGCCGACACCATTTGAACAACAGTTGTGAAACTGTTTGCACAACTAATTGCCTGTTATTATGAGGTAGAAAATGACACATAATATTTAATATACAGTATATATATATATAAACAGTTTTATCACAAATAATATCTCTAATCATTGATTGTCAATAGTGTGAACGCATCTTAAGTCTATAAATATAAATAATAATATAATACACAAATAATAAATTGTGTTATTTTTGCAAACGACTGCACCGTTTCATCTTATTTTTGTTGTTTTTTGCAAATTTTATTTTAAATACTGACTTTTCACTTGAGTTACATTTGAAATCTTATTGATTGCTGTTATGCTAGAAATCCAATAGTAAAGTAGTATTGGTTTTTGTAGTGATATAGCTGTAGTAAAGTAGTGGTACTCTTGTAGTAAAGTTTTAATATAAATGCCAAACAAATATAAGATTTGAAAATAGAAATCGCACGTTAATTGCACTTTAATTATATATAATTTACACCATAAAACCATAAGTTTGTGCTAATTTTGTTATTACATTATTAACAATTGATATTACATTTTTGCACAAATTGTTTGGTTTTAATGAAATTAAAATCTATTAGAATTTTAGTAAACAATACTAAAAATTATATTTACTAAATATATTTTTAAACTAATGTAAGATTAGATAATAGTGAATATTGGAAACCAATGATATATGAATATATAATAAGAAAATTTAGATAAATTATTATTATTATAAATGAAATGAATTATACGGGAATGCAGTCCGGATACTATTGATTTGATTGTTAATACATTATATTGAATGACATAATTTTGCCAATTATTATATTCTCTATTATTATTAGTATTATTATTAGTGCTAACTCTGTCTCTAACGACGATTTCTAATAACGTAGTGTTCATTAAAAATGTTATGAAAAATGAGATTAAATTAGTGGATGAAATGCCTGGTCTTTGCCTATGGAAGTGCTCGATAATGATGACAATGAAATGCTTGATTCATAGCATTATATAAGACTATTAGTGACATTAATGCTTGCATTGAGAAAGTGTATGATAAGTGAGTGCCGACACACAGATCACACAGTTATTAGACGACAAATGAATGCCTAAGCAATTGATTCTTAAAAATTGATTGAATATTATGAACAGTGCGGCAGTTATTGGACGTCAACTGCGCCAACAGCAGACCACAGGGCGCGTGTCGGGACCATTAGTACCGCCGCAACATTTTAAAGGTAGACCACGAACTCCTTCACATATCTCTGGTTTGCCGGTCGGCAGAACATACTCACCGGCAGCCCATTCTTTAAACACTTTAGGTCCCGACGCGGACAAGAAGTTTGCACAGTTTGCGGGCCAACACCCGCATGAGTTTTATCCACATCCGGCCCATAGAGAGAATGCCGATAAAGACAAAGAGGCCGATAAACATAAAGATGATGAGCCAAGACTGAGGTGCACTTGGCATTGCTTTTGCATTGCCATCAAAGCACTCAGTGGTGGTATTGTTTTACTAGTGTTAGGCACCGTTATGTCTGTGATTGGCTTCTTTGCCGAGCCATTAGCTATAGAACAAATAACTCTACCAAACGGGACAATAGTGCCTACAATGGACCCGGATACTAAACAGCATCTCCATAATCTCACTTATGTCGGACCAGTTGTCATGGGTTTGGGTGGTATAGTGATTGTGGCCGCCTGTGTGCTCACCTTTGAAGTAAGGGATACACTTGGAGTCAAAGTAGTGCCCATAAAACCAGAAACTGCCGGTACATTAGGTGCATCCACATCGATGTCCAGTACAGTAATCGCCAGAAAGATGTCGTCCATAACAGTTGACTCCGGCGGATGTAAAGGTCGTGCAAATGCCGGCGCTCTAACCCTTCCATTAGCAACAATATCATCGAATAGTAATGCAATTGAGAGCACAATTAGCGGTCGCATCCATGAGACCATACAAGAGACTATGTTCAATGAGGGCGAACCTATTCTCGGGTATTCAGCGCCCAATTCATCAAAAGTTATTAGTGGTGGTCGTCATCAGCAGCAGGTAAGCAAACATAGGAGAAGGTATTCAATTGTAGATCAGGTTATGCCTTCCCTCACATCTCCTTCAAGTGGGACCAGTCATCTGTTGAGTCCAAATATTGAAACCACATATTTTGGTTTACCGTCGCCTCAAGAAACTGAACTCAGCGATCCTGAGGGTTGTTCACTGGTCGTGCCCTCCAAATGGCGTTCCTCGAGGTGTTCCTGTTCAGGATCACCAACTCATTCCATGTCAATAGAACTCTATATGGAGGACAATGATCCTCCCGTTACTGTTGCTATTGTTGAACATCAAGAATATCTATTACAACAACGTTATAGAAAGCAGCGCCAAAAAGAATTACCATTGAGTCGACCTCCCAGTGAAACACAATACCGAAAGCCAAAGATATTAGCGTCGATGGAAAGCGACGGTCTGTCGTCTTCCGCTTCCGACACCAGTAGTGATGATTTGTTTATTAGTCAGAAAAAAAACCAAATGTGCAAAAACTATGTCTCTCTTCATAATAGTTGTTATGTAACACAACATAACGTTGACATCACTTCATATGATTGTCAATCCGATCAAATGACTACACCATTGTTAAGGAACTCATCTATTAGTCCATCAAAAGTAGTGAGTGTTCCGAGTGATACCAACAATAGCAACAATACAACACAAGCCCACAATACCACCGTTGGTGTAGACAAACGCTTTCCTTTACTAAGACAGGGAGCACTTGGAAATGGATCGGTACCACCAACGACCAGATAACAGTCATCAACAATATGTAATGAAACCAATTTTAACACAATTTAAAAGTTAATTCAAACATAACATTTGAAAATTTTGAATTAAAAAAGTGGTCAACACTTGACACATGCATCGATTTTCATCTATGATACCCATTAAAGATACATCAAATCAAACATTTTGTCAGTTTTTGTAATTGTGATCATTTTTGTTATATTTTATTCATCGTTAATATAAATATTATATATTATTAGTATATATATATGTGAATATATATACGTTTATATATTTTTCTTTTATGAAAAACAAAATTTTATTCATAATTGTTGGTTAAAATAAATAAAATATATATTGTGGATATATATATATATATATATATATAAGATTATATTAAAATTATTATAAATATTATTATTAAATTATCAATAAAAACACCGTCCGTGATAAAAATATTATTTTAAAAATTAATTTATTAAATGTTTAAAATTAGTTAAATGCAACACAAACATGACAATATGTTTAATAAAATTGTGTAGTATTTTTTATTTTCAATATTATTTATTAAAGATATTATATGTTAAGAAAAAATACGTATATATTTTAAATATGAGGATCTTTCAAATGTGCCTAATATATGGATTCAGTCAAAAGTTGAGTAATATAATAGTAAAGATAAATATGCTTTTCAGGTAATTGAAAACACCTTTGAGTTTATAACAGCAAAAGACATTAATTATTAGAAAATTTATATAACATATACTTTATGTATAGTAAATGAGATAAAAGAGAATATATAAACAAATTCACGTTATTATTAATAATAACAGTTATATTCTCTATCTCTTCAAACCATTACATATATTAAAAACAGTTTCCTCTTATATTAATGATTTTATATGAGCACTGCCAGCCTATTCATTTGAAACACACACACAAACACATACATATAGACTATATATATATATATACTGTATATTCATACATTTTCAAAATTACTGTCAAAATTTTATTATATTGAATGTTTGATTTTATTGTTTTTGTTCAATTATTATATTAATTCTACAGTAACATCATTATAATTAATTATTAAAATGTTTATAATGTTTTTTTAAGTATTATCATTATTTTATATATAATTTTTATTATTTATTTCTTTAAAATTAGAATTTTTAAAAATATTAATACAATAACTTTTTTTAAATAAGCGATCAAAATATTTTACATAATAATAAAACTAACCATTAGCTTACTTATATATAATTATTTCTAAATTGATATAATTGACATAAAATAAATATATTTTAAATTATTAAACTTTTTAGTTACCTATTCTAAAATTTTATATTATATAGTAGTGTTATAAAAATAAATAAATCCGATTAAAAAAATACAGTTGTAAGAGCAGGTTTCAAATTTGTTATTATTTTTTAGCATTTATTACAGTATTAAAATTTTATTACACCTGTTTTACAATTGATTTATATAACACAAAAATTATTTAGTATACAAAATATTTAAAGACAACATAAAAATATAAAAGAAATCATTTTATTTATTAGAATATTAGTAGAATTATAAACAATCAAAATATGTCTACAAATATATTAAAAGTAAACATTGTTTTAGTATTCAACTGAAAAATAGCAAAATAATAAATAATAATAATGTATTTGTAAAATGTAATAAAATCCACAATAATTGTATTTTAAAATTAAATTTATAAATATATAATTTTTTTTAATAAAAAATTTGTTAAGGATTCACAAGTAGGTTCAATATATGTTTTTAATTTTATTAATTATTGATGAAATATTTAATATTTAAGTATAATATATTCATTTTTATTGACAGAATAAACAGCAACCATTGAATTTAGAAATTATATTTTGAAAATGTGTCTCATTTGACCTTATTTTATCATTATTGATGGGTTCATTCAAATACTACTATTTTATAAATATCATACTGTATTAAATAATAATAATGTGTTTATAGTTGGTGTTATGGTTAGAGAGTTGTCTAAAACACGTATATAATAATAATATGGATAATGGTTTCCAGTGGATACCTATGCTTATAATTATATGAATTGGACCAATATTTACGAAACTAACAATAAAAGGTTAATCAAATATATTAGACAGAAAATGTTGAATGAATCGTATATTGCATTGTTATGTAATTTATTTTTATAATATATATAGTATTATAAAAAATATATATATATAATACATAGTTAAAAATAATTATAATGATACTTATGTTATGCATAAAAACGAGTTAAAATACAGTAAAGTCAACGATTGATAAATATTAAACGTTTTACAAACTTATCTTTTTGTATATAAAATATTTTCATAATTTATTCGTTTAGTAACTTTATATTTTATATTCACTTCTTTTTTCTAATTTTAGTCATTTCACTAAAAAAACAGAAACAGAGTATAGAATACTAATAATGTATTTCATCTAAAAAATGCATTCAATGTAATGAAAAATATTATTTGTCATTTAAGAAACAAATTGAGTCCAGAATGAAAAAATTTGAATTATATTGTAAGACATTTCTGATGGAAATACAAATGAATTTTATTTAAGCGAAAGATATATAAATAAAATTTAATTTAGTGCTAAAATTCAAACCTTTTTTCTTTGTTTTGATAATCTTAAATAATAACCATAACTATGATGCAAAACTATTAAATTAATTTCTAATTACAGATCTCTAAAAATAACAATTTATATATTTTATTTAAAAACGTTTAATTAAAATTCTTATAATGAGATAAATCATATAATATGTTGTCAAAAGATATTATAAAATAATTATTAATATTTTATATGAATTTTAATTAAATTAGAATAATATTTAAATTATTATATAAATTATTTAACTACTATATAAGATTAATTAGTTTTAATAATACAATTACTACATACTAATAATTAGTTAAAGTTTTGTATAGTATTGTACAGTACAATGTAGTACAGTATATATTAACAAATTGTATTCAATTTATTAATATTAACTTATATTGTAATACAATTTACCAGATATATACCTATTAATTTATTATTATTAAATATTTTATTATTTTGATACTGTTTTCATAATATGTTTTATGAAAATCTCTAAAATCTCTAAATTCACTTTTCAAAATTATTACTACTTGTAAAACATTAAATATAACGATAGAGTCAATTATAGGTTAGTATTGATTATAACTTATGGGTCGATGTGATCAATAAATAAACGAGTTATTTAAAGAAAATGCTTATATCACAGTTCAATACAGCATATTATTGTATAGTATATTCAATATACAGTTCTATATATATATATATACATGTATATACTGTATTATAGACTGTGTATATTTGATGGCTGTAATGGTTGTAAATATATGGAAAACACATTGAATATAATAAATATGAATGTTTTCATCGATTGCATCCTTTATGTAATAAGTGGTGAAACGGATTTAAATACAATGACAAACACTTCTATTGAAATCAGCATTTGATTTATTTTGTAAAATATGTCAAATTTTATCGTTTGAGAGAAAGAGAGAGAGAGAGAGAGAGAGAGAGAGAGAGAGAGAGAGAGAGAGAGAGAGAGCATTGATTAATACTGCATTGAGTTATATGATTAGATATTAAATTACAATATTATGAAATATATAATATTATATATTCTCTAATATTAGACGGAAATATATGATTATAAGTTACTGTATTTTATAATTACTAGAAAAATTATATAAATAATTTTTATTAATAAAAAATCAATATCAAAAATTGTAAGTAAAAACTTAATTTTTTTTATATAAAATTGTAAAAAACATAGAAGAAACAATAAAAATCAAAATTTTTTGAAGCTATAACAAAATACAGTATTATTAATTAATTACTATATAATACTGTATATAAAGTTAAAGTGAGTTTCGGATGTATAGTGTTTGTCGTTTGAAATTTGCCCAAATTTTTTAAAAAGATTTTTAACAAAAAAAAATATTTCATATTTTTTAAATTTCTAACTAATTTAAATCTTATCTTTAGTTAATTTTCAATATAAAATATTCTTCAATTCAAAATCAATAGATACTGTTTGTATAATAAATCAGTAAATTAGTTGACATATAAAAGAAAATATCTTAGAATAGATTATTTTTGGTAGTGTTGGCAAAAAAAAAAAGAAATTTCTATATATTCTATAGGAATCTATCTATGGGTTAATTTTGTTTTTTTTAATATTTGTTATTATGTAACAATACATTGTTTTACAAGTAATAACTAAATATTAGTATTAATATTTTAATTATTAATTAAAGTAAAAATTAATTAATTTAAATACATTAAATTCTTATATATATAATAAAATGATTATTAAAATTTTACAAAACTGATTATTATCAAATAATAATTATTTCATATATAGGTATCCCATTTTGTATAGTAATGTATTACATTATATAATACAGTATAATGTTATATGAATAGTATTATGTTTCATTATTAATATAGTATTAAAATATCTATAGATATGGGGATCCCATAGTATAACAATAAAGTTAAATTTCTATAGAAATTTATTCCTGAGAAATTTTCTAGAAACTTTCTCACGGAAATTTATTAGAAATTTTCTATTTTCCCATCTATATTTTTTGGTCACCGATTTTAACCAAACTTATATCACATATAGAAGTTAATAATAAACTAAAAATTATAATATAAAAATTTTGTTGATATTGAAATGGGATTAAAATTATAAACAAAAATATAATTTGTTTTTTAATGATTTCTCTTTAATAACAAATGATATTTGAAATATTAAAATAAGATTAAAATATTAAGAAATTATTCTAATATTCTTTCTAAAAGTTTCTAAAAGTTTATTTTGTATTTTAATATATTACTTTCTAACTATAATTATAGTTATTAATACTAATTAAATACAGTATCTGTATTATTATAATATATTAATTAATATTTAATGTAAGAGAAAATAGTCTATTTTATTTTT